TCGGTGCCGTCAATTGCGAGGAGGACTGGGTGTTGTGTCGCCAACAGAATGTCCGCTCCTATCCATCACTTATTTTCTATCCTAATGTGAGTCTTAAGACTTTTTTTGGAGATATTTTGTGGTTTTAGGACTGATTTTATATTTTTGTTATTTAAAAGTATGAGAAATACGAAGGGAAACGAGACACGGAATCGATGGTTGAGTACGTGTTGAATCAGTTGCGGCCACAGATGATCACTATTGATAAACTCAATTTGGATTCATTTCATTTGCATTCTTCCGAGTCTAATGAGCGCACAAATTATATACAAACAACTCAATCATCAACTCAGTGGTGGCTCTTAAGTGTTTGTGTCGACAATAAGGGTATTATTGATTAAAACAAAACTTATCATTACTTTAATTAATTTTTTTTGGTTTTGACGAATAGATTGCATATTCTCTGACACCCAGAAGATGGTGGCAATAATGTTGGAGAATGTGGTAAACATCGCACAAGTATACTGTGATAGCAGTGATAAAGTGGTTTGCGATCTTTTTTTTGGTTTTGACGAATAGATTGCATATTCTCTGACACCCAGAAGATGGTGGCAATAATGTTGGAGAATGTGGTAAACATCGCACAAGTATACTGTGATAGCAGTGATAAAGTGGTTTGCGATCGCTTTGGTATCACTGAATCAAAAGTGGCGTTATTTCAAGACATTAGAGGAGATCCTCAAAATTATGCTGAAATCGTCGGCGCCGACCAATCAGTCGAAGCCAAACACATATTCAGAACGGTTCTCTCGAAGTTACCAAATGTTCGCCAATTGTCTGCTGAAGATCTGAAGACTATATGGAAAGACTTGAGTGATAATCCCTCAGCCGAGCCATGGATTGTCGAGTTTACGACAACTGATAAGGACAGCGAAGCCAATCAGATGGAGACCAAACGGTTGATGTCTCTCTTGAGCGATGAGAATATTAGTGTCGGTAAAGTGTTTTGCGATCAGGAATTGAAAGCCTGTTCCCAATTCTATATCCATAAACACCCGTCGATTGCAGTCCTCAAGTCCGGTGCTAACTATGAATTATATCACGGTTTGTATCCATTTCTAGCTTTTTTGTGTTTAAATTAATTTTTATGAATTAATTTTTAGGTCGAATCTTAGCCTTTGATATCGCAAACTTTGCTAAAGAATCTCTTACTAGTGATCTCCAGACATTAGATCCAAATATTTTTGAAGATAAGGTCACAAACCCCGTTCCCACTGGCAAGCCATGGTTTGTTGACTTCTTTGCACCGGTAGGTTTAATGATTTGCTATCTTATACAGTAATATACCGGTAGTAACAGTATTAATCTATTGATACAGTGGTGTCCGCCGTGTATGAAACTAATGCCAGAAATCCGAAAGGCGTCGCGAAGTGCTAATCATTTGGTTAACTTCGGGA